AGACGGAGCTCTGCCTTTCATATCTGCCTGCACCATCTTCCTCTTCTTCTCGAGCAGAGTCTGAGTCCTTGAGCTTTTTCCAGAAGAAGAGTCAACTAAAACACTTGTAAGAAAGCAGGTTCAGAGCCTGGCAGGGGTAGCACACACCTTTAATCCCAGCAGGCAGGCAGATCTCTGGGAGTCCAAGGCCAGCCTGATCTGCAGAGCTAGTTCAGGTTCAGGGACTGGGAAATGGTTCAGTGGGCAAAGTGCTTGCAAATGCGTGAAGACCCAAGTGTGATTCCCCAGAACCCATTCGGAAAAGTGAGGTGTGCCTGTCCATGTATCCCAGCACACACATGCACATATACACAAGAGACATGCGAATCCCTAGGTCTGCCCCAGAGATACTGATTCAGTAGTTTTAATGAAAGGCCATGAAATCTGCTTTGAAACAAACTCCTGGAATGATTCTGAAACAGGTGGTTTAGATGCCATTTTGAAAAAAATGCAAGAGACCACATGGTGATGAGAAACACACAGTGGGTTTCATATAATGGAGAAGTTACAGCACGTTTGGGAAAATACATAGTAAAGAACATGTTGGTACATTGTAGGGATAAGACAATAAGGGGAAAATAATTAAAGTTGCCACAGAAAGAACAAAACAATAAAGATTATAGAAAAGGGACAAAATCATGACTAGAAAGCCCATAAAAATCAGTGGAACTAAAATGGCATCAACAAAACTGATGAAGTTTCAGCTTGACTTGGAAACAAATGAAATTTGTTCACACACTGGAAAATACATGAAGGAATAGCATAACGGATCTGCTAGAGATAGGAAGGGTTCTCAGAGAGAGCGGTGAACCACTGTGCAGCAACAATGGCCCCTGCAGGACCATGCGACCTACCGAGGCTGAGCGGGGAAGACACGGCCTCACCAGACTTGTAGCTATGAAGGAGAGGAGCTGTGGAGGACCCAAAAATATGAGCCTGCTTCCGCCTTGTCTGATGATCAGAGAGTTTGAAGTGGCTTGACTGTTAACAAGTGTAGCTACATGTTCTGACTCAGGACTTTAAGATGGCTTTACAAGTAGATCCACTCCATCCTGACAGATGGTCAGGACGAGCAAGTACACCACTGCTCCTTCTTCTGTAATATGAGGTTACCTGGGGAGTGGCTGCCTTCGAGATACTGCCTAACCACAGAATGCTAATGACTTGATGCCTCCAAGTGTTAAAGCAATTAACTGTTGGAGCTGTCCTTTGTATCATGCTAAAGATGTCTTTTGTTGCCTTCTTCACCCCCTTTGTATTGGGGTATACAATAATTGGGTGATTTCAGTAGCCACTGGAGTGCCCTCCCCATACTGTTCTATGGTTTCTGTTATTTTCACAAGAGTCTTTGTTTTCTTTACTAATATTTCTAAATCCTCATGCCCCCACCCTGGTAAGAGGTGTTTTTGTTGAAGCCGGTCCCTGACATGTGGCAGCCCAACGTGGCACAGTCCCTGGCAAGTAACTGAATGATCAAAAAGCCTCCCAATAAAGAAAAGCCCACAACCTTACAGCTTTACTGGTGAATTCTTTCAGGCATCAGGAAAAGAACTGGCAGCAGTTTCTAAACTTCCAAACTTGGGTAAGAGACATGACTTCCATACCATTCCATGAGCCCAGAGCACCACAGCGCACGATCCAGACAAATCCATGTAAAAACCAACTAACCGCGAAAGTGGCAGAAGTAATGAATGATAACAAAGACTAGAGAGACAAACAAGTCTACAGGTCAAAAGCCTTGAATACCACACGTAAATCCTGATAGCACGCTGGAGACCACTTTAACAGTGCCTAAAAAGACCATGCTAACATGACTAAGTAGAATTTATTCCTTTGATATGCAAACGATTCAATGTACGAAAATCAAATAATACATCATATAAACAGACTAAGGAAAAATTCATTTTGTCTCAATTAACATGGAAAAGGCATCTAACAAAATTCAACACATTTTCATGGCAAAACTTATCAACAAAACTACAAATAGAAGACAACATATGAAATGTTTAAAGCAAAGACGATGCTCAATGGGGAAAGACTGAAGTTTTTCAAAAAAGAAAGAAAGAAAAAGAAGAAAGAAAAAAGAAAGGGCTTCCCTCCATTGCCACATCTACTGAACACATTGTTAGAAGTGTTTGCCAGGAAGGTGAGTTGAGTAAATTAAATAAAAGAACTCAGATTTGGAAAAGAGGGGCAAAGTATCTTGGATCACAGATAATATAGCTTGACCCACAGAAACTCTAAAGATACCCCTGCTAAAATAACTCAACCTGTTAGCATGGATGAACAAATTCAGCTAACTTTATGTATACAAAATCAACCACAAAATCAGTTGTCTTTCTGTACACTAGCAACAAAGTCTGAAAATGACAAAGAATCCAAAAGATCTGGGTGGTGGTGGGGTAGACCTTTCATCCCAGCACCTGGGAGGCAAAGACAGACAGATATTTGAGGCTAGCCTGGTCTACAGAGAGACTTCCAGGACAACCTGGGCTACACAGAGAAAACCCTATCTCAAATTTTTTTAAAAATAAGACTAAAAAAGAATAAAATGCTTAGGATAAGCTTAGTCAAGGAGACAAAAGACTTCCACGCTGAAAGCTATAGAACACCATTGAGAAGCTAAGGCGATGGTTCAGGAGGCAAGCTTAGGACCAGAATTCAAACCTCCAGCACCCACTAAAAAGGCAGACATGGTTGTGTGTATACCTGCAGCGCTGGGGAATGCAGAGACAGGGCTTAAAGGGTTTGCTAGTTCAACCTAGCTCCAGGGAGAGGCCCTGTCTCAAAAGAATAAAGTAGACAATGACAGCAGACGCATGAAGTCCTCCTCTGGCCTCCCTATGTCTATGCACAGGTGCAAACACACACACATATCACACATACACTACACACATACAAACACATACAACACAAGAAAAACAAACACTGCTGAAAGAGAATAAAGAAAACAAATGGAAAGCCTTCCATATTTATGGACTAAAATATTAATGCACTAATGCGTTAATATACTTACTATAGTTAAGAGTTTGATACTATCCCAAACAGTCTATATAACATTATAACATAAATAACATCTCACCCCTCCTATGGACTTAAAGACAAACTAAGGTGTGATTCCACCAAAGTTCGCTCTGAGAAACCAATGAATTTCTTAGATTTTTCTTACAGAACAATGGGTGACCTTTCTGCAGCCACACTAGAAGGTCTGCGGTCAGCATGGATGCTGGCCCCTCCCCCACTGTGTGGATGTAGTCCCCCCCCCAATCCTTCCCCACCTGTATCCTCTAGCCTTCCCCAAAGACCAATCAGGGCACACTTGAATACAACTGTGGAGGGGTGGCTGGCTACCCAGAGGAGGGTCCCATGACGTCCCTCGGCCCCACTTTCCAGGAGTCAACAGTCAACAAGGGCAGCTGTGACAATCTTTGGTGAGCAGGCCCAGCCTGAAGATGGTGGCAGTTCAGCTGGGAGGACAGCCCTGTACAACAGACGTGGCCAGCTGCTCCAAGGTCCCTCTGCCTTGACTTCCCTGCCACGACGGACTGTATCTTGAACTGTGAGCTGAAGCAACACCTTCCTCCCTTAAGTTGCTTTCATTAGAGTGGGAAAAGACCGTGACCTTATGAACCGGTCCCACAGGTGCGTATGAGGCTGCCAACTGTGAGAAAGTCCTCTCTGATGAGCACGCAGGTCCCTTGCTATCGGGGTTCCCAACCCCCGTAACTGAGAAAAAACTTGTGATTCTCTTAAACTACCAGTTTATGTTATAGTAGCCCTAATGGATTAAAATTAAACATATAGGGCAATGTAAACCCAAAATATATTAAGACATCAACTCACACACCTGAAGGTGGCTACTTTTAAAAACAAACAGAAAGTAACAAGGCTTGACAAGGACACGAGAAACTGGAACCTTTGTGCCCTATTGCTGGGGCATACAATTATGCAGCCACTATGCAATACTTAGAGGTTCGTCAAAAATACAGTAGAATTATTATGCAAGTCATGATTCCATTTCTGAGGATACACTTAGAAAAGAATGAAAAGCAATTATCAAGGAGATATTTACAGACTCACATTAACACCACGTGATTAAAAGAAGCCGAGGGTTGTGTGTTATTTGCTTTTCCTGTTGCTGCACCAGAACCTGACAAAAGGAGTTTAAAGAGAAGAGGGTTTGTGTTGACTCTCAGTCTGCAGGTGGGGAGGGCATGGCAGTGGGAGTGGCTCTGGGTGTGGTGGCAGGGGTGTGGGGCAACTGCCACATTGTGTTTACAGTTCTGAACAGGGACAGTGCTACAATCCACCAGCTTTCCCGCTCACTTCCCCTGCTTCTTGATTTGGGCACACAGCCCAGGTATACCCTCTTAGTGAAATCTCCTTGGAGATATGCCCTGGAGATGCGTCCTGGAGACTCCCCCTGGAGACATGCCCTGGAGACATCCAGAGGTGTGTCTCTCAGGTGATTCTAAAATCTAATCCAGTTGACAGTGAAGATTGGCCTCACAGGGTGGAAGCAACTCGTGTCCATCAACAGATAAGCCAAATATGGTAAAAAAAAAAAAAAAAAAAGAACATAACAGATTTCAGTCTTAAAAAGAAAGGCCACAACCAGGTGGTGGTGACACATGCTTCTAATCCCAGCACTCAGGAGGCAGAGGTAGGTGGATCTCTGTGAGTTCGAGGCCAGCCTGGTCTACAAGAGCGAGTTCCAGAACTGGGTCCAAAGCAACACAGGAAAACCCTGTCTCGAAAAACCAAAAAAAAAAAAAAAAAAAAAAAAAAGCCTTTCTGACTTGCTTCCACTTGGATGAATTCAGCAAGTCACACAGAAAAACAAACACAACGGAGTCCCCTATGATGAGGTATCCTGAGGACGCAAGTTCACAGGCAGAAAATAGAATGGAGTTGCCATGGGCAAAATGGAGTCAACTGGAGTTGATTGTCTTACTGAATTTGAGTTCCAGAGGTCAGCTGAGACATGCACAGCACTTGAATGTACTTAATGCCACTAAGTTACACACTTAGTGATAAAATGCTAATTTTGCCACAATGTTTTGAAGTACAAAACACAGTTCCACACTCAGTCATCATAATTCAAGATATTCACTTCAAATCTTAAAATCTTCTTGTTTTCACACTTAATTGGGGATGCGTCCGTTTGATTTTTATTTTGTTTTCAGGATGGTGATGCGTCCGTTTGAAACAAGGAGCTCAGACATGATGATTTTACCAACACGAGAGGTGAGGAATGGAGTTCTTGAACTAAGATTGTTTTCTTAGGAAAATTTACAAGCTGCGTCTTAACAGTTTCTCTCAATTGCATCCAAGAACTTTGGCTTGGGGCCTCTTTATATTAAGAACATACACTTGACCTAGTCCTTGAAGGCCGAGTAGCTTCTGCCAAGTGAGAAAGACGAGAACTAGAATTCACAGAAGTAAACACAGCATCTGCCAAGGTCTGTGCTGGTGAAAGGGCAAGGTCTGTCCTAGGAAACAAGGGATATCTCAGTGAGGGTAGAGAGCTAAGTGAATGGCGTGAAATGGCAGAGGCAGGAAGCCAGGAAGAACAGGTTTCCAGTTCTCTGCCCTTCTTTATTCTCACTTAAGCATGTGGCCTTTCCAAATGACAATACCTCTGGAGAAGTTGCATGCAGTTCCATGGTAGAAGAATCCAGCATCTTCAAGTCTCTCTGCTGTTAAAGAGACAAAGAGAAGCATCTTAAGCCAGGTAAGGAAAATGCTTGCACACTTACCAGCACTAACATAGCCCAGTTCCACAGCAGGCATGACTAATGGATGCTTGCATGCTTAACCCTGAAGACTAACTGTAGTCTTGTAGCCTCACCAACTCTGAGGCAGGTGGACCAGCAAATGAAGAGAGCACAGGAGCTAAACTCTTTAACAACATGTCCTAGTTAGAGTTACAACTGCTGCGGCAAAACACTATGACCAAAAGCAAGTTGGTGAGGAAAGCTTATCTGGCTCACACCTCCACATCATAGTCCATCACTGAAGGGAGCCAGGACAGGAACTCATGAAGGGCAAGAAGCTGGAGGCAAGAGACGCTGCAGAGACTATGAAGGCTGGCACTTACTGGCTTGTTCCGCATGGCTTGCTCAGCCTGCGTTCTTATACAACCCAGGTTCCCCTGCCCAGAGGCATCCCACTTACAGTGGGCTGTGCCCTCCTAATCAATCATTGATCAAGAAATACCCCCGCACAATTGCGTACAGGTCAACTGCTAGAGGCGTTTCCTCAATCAAGGTTTCCTCCTCTAAGAACACTGTAGTTTGTGTCAAATTGACATAAATCTAGCCAGCCTACACTGCTACCACATGAAACAGAAATTTGCAAGTTCTGGCCAAATCACAGTAAATATGCGACAAATACGGCCGTTCCACCACTTGTCAGCTCTAAGACAAGAACACGTATTTAAGTCAAGGATGAACGGCTCATGTAGAAATTTCTAACGCTTGCACCGGCAGTGCCTTCTGTGTGCCAAGAACCCAGTCCACACACACATATTTTACCTCATGAACTATTCAACAACCTGCACAGCAGGCATGTTTATTCCTGTTTAAGATGGGAGAATGGGCCTCAAATATCCAAGCAATTAACCTAAGATCACAAGGTGAGAGGAAGTGGGGAGAACTCAGCATGACCTCCCCACCACATCACATCGCTGTAGCACACACCAGCCGGCACACGATAAGACATCATTTTTAGTACTCATCTTGCACTTAGACTAGAGATGCTTGAGGAGCCAATAAATTGCTCCCAAAACCTAAGTATATTCATAATTCCTTTAAACAGTAGAGGCTGAAGGGAGATAGGCACAGATTCTGAAGTTATTAGGTGCAGAAACTCTGCACTAAGTTCACTCAGTAGGAAGGCCTCGGGAGACAAGTCACAGAGGATTCAGAAGGCATCTGATGGGGTTCCATCTGGTTCTAAGAATCCAGTGCTCACCATTAATGTCTGTATTTCTTTCCTGGGGACCTAGTCAGTAGGACACAGCACTCTTTTTAGTGTCAGGCACTTGACAGTAGGGTATCCCTTCTGGCCACCAAAGAAAAGCCACAGAAGGCTCTCCATACACTGGGTTTTGATCCTACTGCACGTACTGGCTTTGTGGGAGCCTAGGCTGTTTGGATGCTCACCTTACTAGACCTGGAAGGAGGTGGGAGGTCCTTGGACTTCCCATAGGGCAGGGAACCCTGACTGCTCTTCGGGCTGATGAGGGAAGGGGAGTTGATTGGGGAAGGGGGAGGGAAATGGGAGGCGGTGGTGGGGAGGAGGCAGAAATCTTTAAGAAAGGAAGAAAGAAAGAAAGAAAGAAAGAAAGGAAGGAAGGAAGGAAGGAAGGAAGGAAGAAAGAAAGAAAGAAAGAAAGAAAGAAAGAAAGAAAGAAGGCTCTCCATAGCCATGGCTGATTGTTTTCACCTATTCTTGAATAAAATTGTCTTTGGTTCAGTCCATTCCTCAGGGGTGAATTCCCCTCTGGGTGAAGAACATTGTTTTATTCTAGAGAAGTGGCCACCCTGAAGTGGGTTTGTTAGGAAATAACCATGCCTGCTGTGGTAGTTTGAAGGAGAATGACCCCATAAAGTCATAAATGTGAATGCTTCATCACCAGAGAGTGGGACTCTTTAAAAGGATTAGAAGGATTGGGAGGTGTGGCCTTGTTGGAGGAAGTGTGCATTGGAGGTAGGCTTTTGTAACATGAAGGGCCTGCTTGTTGGGGTTTCTGACCCACCCAGTATCCCACAGCCAGCATTCCCCAAAGAAAATCACAGAGATCTCCATAAGTTATAAAACTGATTGGCCCATTAGCTTAGGCTACTTATTAGCTCTTGTAGCTTATATTAACCCATTGTTCTTAGCTATGTTAGCCACATGGCTTGGTACCTTTCTCAGCCAGGTAGGTTACATCTTGCTTCTTGGTGGTCTGGGCAGGAATGTGAGGAATGGGCTTCTTCCTTCCTAGCATTCTCCTGTTCTCATCGTCCTGCCTCTACTTCCTGTCTGGTTGACACACCTATACTTCCTTCCAGGCCAATCAGCGTTTATTTAAAACATGATTGACAGAATACAGACAATTCTCCCGCACCAGGCTTTGAGGTTTCAAAAGCCCATGCAAGGCCCAGATTCCCTATGTATGGATCAAGATGTAGCTCTCAGCTACTGCTCCAGCACCTGCCCACTTGCCACCATGCTCCCCTGCCATAATAGTGGATTAGCTCTCTGAAACTATAAGCAAGTCCTCCATCAAATGATATCTTTGTAAGAGTTGCCTTGGCTGTGGGTATCTTTTCATAGCAGCAGAACAGTAACTAAGACACCTGTCTTCTTCTTCTTCTTCTTCTTCTTCTTCTTCTTCTTCTTCTTCTTCTTCTTCTCCTTCTCCCCCTCCTCCTCCTCCTCCTCCTCCTCCTCTTCCTCTTCTTCTTCTTCTTGTGACAGGGTTTCTCAGTGTAACCTTGGCTATCCTGGAACTCACTCTGTAGACCAGTCTAGCCTTGAACACACAGAGATCCACATGCTTCTGCCTCCCAAGTGCTGGGATTAAAGGTGTGCACCACCACCACCTGGCTTAGACCTGTCTTCTTTTAATCTTTCTTTATAAGACATGTTTTATTATAGTCAGATTATTTTATGATTCTTTGTGCCTCTGTGTGTACATGCATGTGTACATGCCTGTGTATGTGTGTTTGGAGTTGGGGCTATACATGTGTGTATGCATGTGTACAAGCATGAAAGTGCATGTGGCTATGGAGGTCAGAGGACAACCTCAAATGCCCTCAGGTGCCTTTGACCTTTCTGTTTGAGACAGAATCAGTTATAGCTTGCCTTCCTGGAACTATGCAAAGTATACCGCACTAGCTGGACAGCATGCTACAAGGATCCACCTGTCTCTACCTTCAATTTCAGACTAAGGGTGTGCCACCATGCCCAGTTTTTTTAAACATTCTCCCAAGATGACAAAGCTATCTCTCTAGCTCCTATTTATAATTCTCAAAACATTTGCCTTGTCCTACTAAAGAGTACTTGATTTATATAAAACTTGAAGTTGTTTCCAAAGGGTTTTAAAATTCCCCTTCTACTTAAGTGTTTAACACCACAACATCTTTCCTATTTGTTATAAATGAGTTAATGCAGATTTGGCAAGACTGCAACACACTTCATATTATTTTTCCCTTAGGGCTTCAAGATTGAATATTTCCCACTACCAATATCTGCAGTTACAAAGGAAACCCAGGGATCAATGAATCCTCATTTCAAAGCTGATCACAGCACACCAACAAAGGAAGAAAAACTGATTTTGTTGCAGAGATGTGAATGTTATACAAAACATACGAGCCAAAATGCTAAATGGGAGTTTGCAGATTCATGCTGAACCCAACTGTGTGGGTTATCTCAGGGTCATAGAAGGTACAAGAGACCGATACAAGAAGGCACAGTTCTTGTTTTTGGAATTTCCTGCTTCATGGAAATGTCTGCTGGATACTATGGGCCTGTAGGCTGAAGATTGATGACCCAACAGTACAAAAGAACTTTGGGTGACTGTCCAGACAGCGAGATGTCTCTGTCATTTCTAGAGTTTTGGAAGTTGTTTACTTAGGTAATATTATATCCTTCTGGAGTCTTTGATGGAGTTGAAGAGTGGATAGTTATGGTTTCTCTTAGTTATGATAAAAGATAAAATTGATATAAATATTGTAACTAATTCTTACTTGATAACTTTTGTTATATGTAATTTTACTATGTTAAAGTTAAAGCCTTTCTTTTTTTTGTTTAAACAGAAAAAGGGGAAATGATGGAGGTGGGTCTTGTGTCTATCTGTTGCTTTCATTGGTTAACTAATAAAGAAAACTGGTTGGCTTTTGATAGAACAGAAAATTAGGTAGGTGGAGTGGACAGAACAGGATGCTGGGAGAAAGAAGCCGAGTCAGGCAGTTGCCATTATTCTCCCACTCCAGACAGACGCAGGTTAAGATCTTTCCTGGTAAGCCACCTCGTGGGCTACACAGATTATTAGAAATGGGTTAGATTAATATGTAAGAGCTAGCCAATAAGAGGCGGGAACTAATGGGCCAGGCAGTATTTAAAAGAAAAAAAAAGAAGGCACAGTTCTGGGCCCAGCTCAACTTCTTCAGGTCTGTGTGCCTTTGGATTCTGAGCAGTAAAACTGAGATGACAGCCTCCTTGCCTCCCATTTCACTGGATTGCTTTGAAGAGAGGATGAGATGTTGCATACTACATGCCCAGGAAACAATGCACCACCCTGTCAAAGGCAGAGCTAGTTTTGCAGAGGCTGCAAGCATTTATTCTGCATCAAGGAATGCTAGAACTTTGCCCACTCAGTTAATCCTCTAATAGCTTGCCGTCAGATCACCCTTTCTATCCACCACAGCATTCTAAAAACTGTCTCAACTTAGTGGCTGAGAGACTATGGAAGTGAAGTCACAACTAAGCTGCAAACCAAACCTCCACATTCCATGGATTCGGGTCCTACCTTCTCCCCAAGCTGCCATGAAGTGTGTATTTTAAAACTCAAACCATATTTTATTTATTTATTTGTGTGTGAGAGAGAGTGTGTGTGCGTATGCAAATGCATACCACAGAATGCGTGTAGGACAGAGGGCAACTCTCAGGACTCAGTTATCTCCTTCCGCCATGGATTCTAGGGCTT